TCATTTTGCAATGTAGCATACATACATTTATAATATACCCAGACCTATACAGTTTTCATTGACTACTTCCTCTGCTACTTACCCGCCTCTTGCGTGTAATTTGAACGACTAGTGACATGAGTACTGATCTCCCCCTTTGGACTACATAACACCTCCTCTTTACGCATTGGAGAAGAGGAGAGCGGAGGGGCTCTGTAGTACAGTGGGGAAGAACTGGGTAGGGCAGAAAAAACACTGGGATTTCAATGTAGCCAAGGCAGCTTTGTCAATTCACTACAGGAAGTTAGGGGCACACTGGATTTCTGGAAGATCAACGGGTATTTATCTGTACGTGAAGCATTTATAAAGAAATAAAACATAAATGTGCATGTATTGCACAGATGTACTGAGCATGTTTGTTTTATTTTGCCCAGAAGTACATTTTAAGTGACCATATACACATCCCTTATTTTTGACACATAAGACAATTCACATACATGCATTTCATCTGTGTATTTAATGGTCTCATATTAAAGTGTTACTAAACTCACAACAGTAAAATCAGTCTGGATATGCAGTAAAGCATGCTTGTTATACTCACTGTGGAACCTAGGGGGTTAATACTCTGCAATTTGTAAAAAGGCTGTTTGATCCTATCTTCTCTGATCATCCCCTTCTCCCACAATCCCCAATCCATCTACTGATAGTACAGAGCCCTAGGAGGCACTCTGCACATGCTCAGTTTGGTGTCTATTGCTAGAGAGTTTTTTTTTTGGGGGGGGGGGTGCATGTGATCAGCACAGGGCCAATCAGCACTGTCCAGACAGAGTGTTAGGGGTCATGCAGCCTCAGAGGACAGTCAGAGGAGAATAAAGAAAACTTTAACCAGTCTACTCGGCTGGACACTGATAGAAGTCACAAGACTGCTATCTATGTCCTCCTGTGACCCTGTATGTATATCTATGTGAGTCTTATGGTAACTGTGACCCTGTATGTATATCTATGTGAGTCTTATGGTAATATATGACCCTGTATGTATATCTATGTGAGTCTTATGGTAAATATTACCCTGTATGTATATCTATGTGAGTCTTATGGTAACTGTGACCCTGTATGTATATCTATGTGAGTCTTATGGTAAATATGACCCTGTATGTATATCTATGTGAGTCTTATGGTAAATATGACCCTGTATGTATATCTATGTGAGTCTTATGGTAAATATGACCCTGTATGTATATCTATGTGAGTCTTATGGTAAATGTGACCCTGTATGTATATCTATGTGAGTCTTATGGTAAATATGACCCTGTATGTATATCTATGTGAGTCTTATGGTAACTATGACCCTGTATGCATATCTATGTGAGTCTTATGGTAAATATGACCCTGTATGTATATCTATGTAAATCTATGTAAATCTTATGGTAAATATGACCCTGCATGTATATTTATGTGAATCTTATGGTAAATGTGATCCTGCATGTATATCTATGTGGGCCATATGGTAAATATGGCCCTGTATGCATATCTATGACCCCAAATGTACAGTATATCTATGCAAACTTTTATTGTAAATATGACCCTGCATGTCTATCTATAACAGAGGCATACTAATTACCTAAAATGTATATTTGAACAAAATAAAAAACAAAAAACATGCACAGTACATCTCTGCAACACATGCACATTATAATAAATGAAAAAAAAAACCCCAGCTAAATAATGTGTCAACTCTTCTCAATGTGAAACCCAATACTCACACTGGGACGAGTTGACACTGATTTAGTAATGTAAATACATGCACATTCCCTGTGTTTTATCCTTTACAAATACTACAAGTACAGAGCAATTCCTGTGAAACTACTAGATATTCAGGTGTTTGAGCTGACAACACTATGCCTCTGCTGAACTCAAATCCCAAGCAGTGATGCCAACTGTAAAGTGCTACCCTGCTGAACTACAGAACACCTCCTTCTCTCTTCAACCCCATAACATATGGCAGGGGTGTTCTGTAGTATAGCAGAGAAAGCCTCAGGCAGGCATGAGTCTGATTATGTTGTCAGCTCCCTGCAGGAACTTCGGAGCTTACTATATTTCTGGCAGATTAACAGGTATTTCCTCTACTTTCAAGGACTTTAAAGGGAAAAGAAATGGGAAAAGTGAATGTATTGTAGAGATGTACTGAATTTTTATTTTATTGTATACTCTTTAAACACTAAAAATAACAGAAACCATTTATACTGTATAAATTAACAGGATTTACTGTAGTGTGCTGATTTATTTTCCAAGTAATTTGCATTCTCAGCCATGTGTGCATTTTTCTAGTTCAGCAGACATAGAACGATGCTGATTCAATTTTCAACTTCTATATAAATAGGAGCTTATGTGATTCATTTAAATCAGAAAAACAGTGGAAGGGAAAAAGAGCAGTGCCATAGAAACAAAGATAGTTAGAATAGATATGACTGGGCCCCTGTTCCAAGGGAGTCTGAATGCCCTACTGCCACCAACACTGAAACAAAGTGCAGTGTTATGCCCCTATGTGTCCACATAGCCCACCTTGCCTTGTGACACAACATACAAGATAATCAAGTGGGGGCCCAGATGGGGAGCATACTGCACTCTCATTCAAATACGCTTTCTGGCACAGTTGTGCTCTGTAAGGTATGACTGACCCCAATCTCTCCACTTAGTACACTGCGCAAATGTATGCGTTGATGCAAGTGCCTATAGAGGGACTAGTTTGCACTGGGTCTCAGCCACCTACTGGTTTGAAGCTGTAAAAGTGTGTTGCCCAAAACAGAAAATCAAATTCTATCTAAACATTTTTATAGCATAGGTTAGGTAAAGGAAACAAATATCTGTTTAGATGCTATAGGTTATACTTACACAATATTTTTCCTTCAGTTTTGAACTTTCAATTCATTAGCACACAAAAAGAAGGAGTGATGGATCCAGCAGAAGCTTAGCCTAGCCATGCCAGCAGCTAAGGTGACTTACAAAGGTAAGAGGCTCCATGTGTGGGATAGGTGCTATGTGGTGCAGCGGCAGTAGTCACACTAAGGCCCGAATTGCACAAAACGGTGTATTGAAGAACTTGCAGGACAGTACAACAGCCTAGAAGGATGAAAGGCCCAACCAGGAACTCACAATTAATGCAGCAGTAGTAGGCCCAAGCTCAAGAAAGTACTTGCCAAGGGCAGTGGAGTGTGATGTGGCTTGTGAAACCCAAGAGGGAGCTTGAGGAAGTGTAGATGCAGACCCTACTTTTTTCCTATCTTTCCATAACTTTTCACTACCACTAGTGCTGTCTCTGACAGACGGGCGGGCTCTCCCTACATTAGCCACTTAGCAAATGAACGCCAAAACTTGGGACAGGGGCTTGACTCAAGTTGGCTGCCAGGGGTACCTGCATGCAGTGTAGCTAACCAGAACATTGCTCCAGGGGACTGAGGAAACGAGAAAGAAACCAGGTTTCTCTTGACTCCCTCTCCAACTGCAGTACTGCTTCAGTCGAGCACCACCTACAGTGGAGGAAACAAGCTGCAAACTGCAGGGCAGAAGTAGACCCGTGGGGCCTCTGGCCTTCTATATATGGTGTACCACCCCAGTATGTAAGGGTATCAAAGAGAAAATAATGAACAATCAAAATCCTTTGGCAAATAATGTTTAGTCCAGGGGGTGCATATGCATTTGAGTTTGAGCATTTGCGTGCCATTAAGAATCACAGGCATTTCATTCATGAGAAACCTTTCAATCTTTTGTTTCAACTGCGCAACGTTGTTGATGGAGGAAAAAATAATAATTTAAACAAAAAACTGTTCTTTGCTAATTATCTATGTGCATACACCTTAGTGCAAGCCAAAGCCCATTTTAATGTGAGTAGAATTGTGTGGTTTTATGAGAAATAAAGTGTTTTAAGGTTTTACACTATGGCGGTCCACCTCTATTCCCTCCTCGTGTGGCAAGAGTTCATATGACTGCAATTCAAGAAAAAAGGAGAGTAAAGTGATTGACCCTGGAAAGTGAATGGTGTTAATACCCTGCATAACAAGCGCTTTATGACTCACCTATAGTGGGTGGTCATATAAATCTGGTGAGTTCTCTGTGTTGGTGGTGGAGGATCACTGGAGCACAGTGTTTTTGTTTGAGGATTATCATGGGAATACTTACATGAAATCAATTGTACAGACACTTTATTGAGGCCATAGTGCCAGAATTTGTGGAGAGTAAATGCACAAAGATCACTTTAAACGTGGACATTTAATATGTGGACATTGCTTACATATTTTTTATATAAGTTGGGAAATCCTTTTTTTAAAGCACGCAGCACTGTGAATAATTTATTGGTTACATAGTTAGATAGTTAATCTGGCTGAAAAAAGACAAAAGTCCATCCAGTTCAAACATTAAAAAAAAAAAAGTTATAATCCTATACCCACAGTTGATCCAGAGGAAGGCAAAAAAAACCAGCAAAGCATGATCAAATTTGCTCCTGCAGAGGAAAAATTCCTTCCTGATCTCCCAAGAGGCAATTGGATATTCCCTGGATCAACTTTACCTATAAATGTTAGTAACCAGTTATATTCAGTGTATCTAAGAAAGAATCCAGGCCTTTTTTAAGCAGTTGCCGACCGCAGATAGCCGAATGACGGCAACACTGTGGCCGACCAGTTCTGGGAGGGCGTCATATGATGTCCTCCCAGAACGCGCTCTCCTGCGATCTCCATAATCGTTGTGTCCTATGGACACAGCTGACCACGTGATGTGGTAAAAGGCCAATCACAGCGGCCTTTTACCACGTGATCAGCCGTGTCCAATGACACGCTGATCACAGGGAAATGCAATTGCCGGTTCTCGGCTGCACTTTCCTCACGCTGTCAGATCGTGAGGAAAGTACTGCCGAGAACCGGCAGTTGTCAGAGCAGGAATCGGCACACCGATCATCATGGCACTGATGATCAGTGCCCTGATGATTGGTGCCCAGCAGTGCCACCCACCGGTTCCGCCCACTTGTGCCCAGCAGTGCACCCACCTGTGCCCAGCAGTGCAACCACTTGTGCCCAGCAGTGCCCACCAGTGCCACCCAGCAGTGCCACACACCTGTGCCTAGCAGTGCCATCCAGAAGTGCCACCTATCTGTGCCCAGCAGTGCCACCCACCTGTGCCCACCAGTGCAGCCCAGCAGTGCTGCCAGTCAGTGCCACCAGTCAGTGCCCAGTGGTTGTGCCAGTCAGTGCCCAGCAGTTGCGCCAGTCAATGCTTAACAGTGCCGCCAGTCAATACCTAGCAGTGCCACCAGTCAGTGTCCAGCAGTGATGCCAGTCAGTGCCACCTATCAGTGCTGTCTATCAGTACCCACCATCAGTACCGCCTATCAGTGCCACCTATCAGTGCCGCTTATCAGTGCCACCTCATTCGTGCTGCCTATCAGTGCCGCCTATCAGTGCCCTTCCATGCTGCCTATCAGTGCCCATCAGTGCTGCCTATCAGTGCCCTTCAGTGCTGCCTCATCAACACACATCAGTGAAGGAGAAAAATTACCTGTTTGCAAAATTTTATAATAGAAACAAAGACCCACAGTTGATCCAGAGGAAGGCAAAAAAAACACAGCAAATCATGATCCAATTTGCTCCTGCTGGAAAAAAAATTCCTTCTTGATCCCCCGAGGGGCAATTGGATATTCCCTGGATCAACTTTACCTATAAATGTTAGTATCCAGTTATATTCTGTGTATCTAAGAAACAATCCAGGACTTTTTTGAAGCAATCCACTGAGCTGGCCAGAACCAACTCTTGAGGGAGTCTGTTCCACATTTTCACAGCTCTCACTGTGAAGAAACCTTTCTGTGTTTGGAGATTAAATTTCTTTTCTTCCAGACATAAAGAGTGCCCCCTTGTCCTCTGTGATGTCCTCAGGGTGAATAGCTCTACACCGAGTTCACTATATGAACCACTTATGTATTTATACATGTTGATCATATCCCCCATTAATCTCCTCAAGAGAGAATAAATTCAGTTCCTCTAATCTTTCCTCATAGCTGAGCTCCTCCATGCCTCTTATCAGTCTGGTTGCCCTTCTCTGCACTTTCTCCAGTTCCCCAATGTTCTTTTTGTGAATTGGTTCCCAAAACTGAACTGCATATTCCAGATGAGGTCTTACTTACTAATGATTTGTACATGGGTACTATGATATCTCTCTCTCTGGAGTCTATACCTCTTTTAATACAAGAGAAGATTTTGCTTTAGAAACCGCAGCTTGGCATTGCATGCCATTATTAAGCTTGTGATCTACCAGAACTCCCAGATCCTTGTCCACCATGGATTCTCCCAGTTGCCCCCCCCCCCCCCCCCTTGTATGTATGATGGTAATACAAAAAACTGAACTCTAGACAGATATAAAATACAAATTGATGCAGCTCTGTAATAATGAATCCATCATTTAATGTACATACTAAATGCAAGGAATGTATATTTTACCTTATATTAGCCTCTTACAGTCCCTGTACAGCTGAGCTCAGAGTGAAAGAGGGAGAAGCAGCACAAGGAGCCAGTCAGATTTGCTGCAGTACTTTTGTGCTAACAAGGGAAATGCTGAGAGGATGATAGAGCAGAACTACAAATGTAACAGTGCTGTGCACTGCCACGGTGTGAAAAAGGTTTTGTATGACCCAGGATTCTCATCCAAGCAGGTTGAGGGGTTCCAGTATTTATGTCTCATACAGATAAAACAGTTTTTTCAGTGCTTTCTGAGATTAGTAAAACTCTGTTTGGGTCCTGCAGCCCAGAGGCTTCATAAAAAGGATGAAATTTCCGACTCTGGGTCCAGGTTCTGCTTACAATCAACACACTAATTGTGCATGTGTGTGCAAGGCTTTTGTTAGAGATGTGACTATGATTCAGGGCTCCACCCCAGAGGGCAGAGGTGGTCTCCACCCAGGAGGGCTACATCTAAGAAACAGGTAGGAGTCAGTGCAGCAGGGAGCTGCTACATGCATGCATAGATTTTGAGGGAAACAACTGTCTGGAGTACATAGAGAAGGGCCTGAGAATTAAGGCCACAGCAGTAGTGCTGCAAGTGTAAGCTAGAAGGCTGAATAATATTTGTTTTTGTGACAGAGAAATGCTGGAAAACCCCTGCAAGGAAAACAATGCATTGAACTTTTTTTTAATAAAATTGGGCAAGAAAAACCCTAAAAAAGAGGATTAATGCAAGTGACTACATCCTTAATGTTCTACTGCTTGGTGCTCAAACAAAAATAATCTCATGAATGTTCTGCTTCTCCTTTCACTGTCCAGTCATAGGCTGGGTCAGAGTCAAAACCAGTAAAAGTTACTTTATTGCAGGAAAGAAAAAAACAGTTCTCCTGTGTGGCATGGCAGGCAAATGGTATGGTTTTCATGTGTATTTAGCTGTTTGCCTGGAGTTAATTCCTGATATGACATATAGTGCATAAGTGCCATAAAGAGCAACTTCAGGCTAGCTGTAAAATAAATCTGTGAACTGCATGCAGTCAAAAAGTACAAAAAATGTCAGAATTGTTCCTGAATTTTAATTAATCCTTCGCAGCCAAGCGTGTCAGGCTTTTCGGTGCTTCTAGGAAGGACATCCGTCTCTTCTCACATGATTCTGTGCTGTGTAATCTCCTTCCCTGAGCACAAGGAAGAGCGGGGTTTTCAGAACACTTGACCTGTGTTATAACAGGTTCAGATTTAGGACTTTTCAGAAAATAAGGATAATGACATTGGGAGAGATTTAATGACCTGGTCAATAACCTGTACATAATGAATGGAGGAATAAATGAATGCCTTTCAGCAGGTAAGTTTTGTCCAGAGTTTAATGCACAATTTTCATGTTTGACTGCAGTGTACCTTTTAATAATGCAATTTAATGGTTCTAAACGCACTCTCTATTGAATCTGCAACAACAGTACTTTCATGAGCAGCTAAATCATCATCTAGTCATCTCTTAGCATTATGTTACATTGTATTACCTGTCATTCTTTATTTTTAGTTTCCAATAAAATATATACACTGTATGACATGTTTTTACATTGTGTCATTTCTTATCATTCATTATGATTTCTATTTTATATGGCTATAATTTTCCAAGGAGGATTTCATGAATAAAGTCACTGAGAAAGCATTTTCCTTGTCATTGTCCATTTTTTTAGCATTAAGTTGCACATTTAAACTGTTAAAAATCCATTTCTTAGAAAGCCAAGAAGTTTAGTTATATTCACCTGTGTTTTGGAGGGGGAACTGAGGGAAACATTTAGAAAATGTGAAAAGGAGTACAGTGTCTGGTATATAGATATCAGGCTCAGGGTGCGTATAAGATATTAGAACCAAAGCATGTGCAAGGTGCAGGAGTACAATATATTATGTTCTAATACAGTGGTTCCAAACCTGGAGTACAGGTACCCCTAGGGGTATGCACCAAGACATTTAGGGGTATGCAAATAAAATTAATAATGACAAAAATGGCAGTGTTGTACCAGTGACTGTAAAAAATAAGTGTCACTTGGTCGCCAGAGCTGGGAATGTACCAGGAATTACCTGGTAATGTAATTTTTTTAAAATCAGTTATCTATTCTCTGGTTTGTTCACTGCTATTGTTGGCCTTGCTTTTTAATGTATATAAACATTGCTGACATCATTCTGGACACAAGCAGCTCGCCAATCTCTTCCTGGTCTAGAGAGAGGAGGAAGGAGGGATGATGCATGGGCAGTGCCGTGGTTAAGGGGCTACCACCAATCCTCCTGTACAGGACCCAGGGCAGAAGGGGGCCCAGGCAGCTGAGTGAATCAGATGTGAGCAGGGAGGGTGACAGGCATGGTAGGAATGGGGGGCAATTACTGGAACCGGCTCTCTGCAGTAGCTGAAAATTGGCTTCTTCTCCTCTTCCTCCCCCTGGCTTTCAGCTGTTGCATAAAGTGCCATACAGGGGGTCAGCTCCAGTAATTTCCCCCCCCCCCGGTCGCACCCATCACTCTTGTGCCCCATATGTTCCCCCCTTCTGCCCAGGCCCATCTGTGTGCCCCCACCTCCTCAATACTGCAGGCTTCTGTTCTCTCCTTACCACTGGCAGCTTCAAGCACATAATAGAATCCTTCAGGATGAAGAGTGGGGGAAGGATGCGGTAAATATGTCACATTTACCAGCCTCTCTCTTCCTTTCCTGAATGAACACAATGAGTGATTGGTACCAATCGCTCACTGTGTTTGTTCATAACTGAAGCATATTAAACTGTTTTTTTGGGGGGAGTGGGGGACTGTCAGGCTGGCGGTATGGGGATCCGTGGTTCCTAACAGCATCCCTGGGCACAGGAACTGGTATGGAGAGGCAGTGCATGGAGTCAGATGGGGAAAGTGTAACTGTGCTGTCGTGTAATGTAAATAAGTGAAAAGTCCTTAAAATTAGGGCTATATGAGCACCAGGACTCACTCCAAACCTCACCCAATGCTGACAAGCTGTATACATTTGAATCAGAAGAAGTATACAGCTTGTCCCCATTTGCTAAAGTTTGGGCTGAGTCCTGGTGTTTCCGTAGCCCTCATATTAAAGGCATAGTTCACCTTTACTGAAACAAAACTGCCTATGCAGATTAGAGATGTCTGTAGATAAGAAAAACTGTGCAGCTGTGACCAAATTTGAATAACGCTCTAGCTATAAGTGTAGGCCATTTATGTACTATACCTCATGACGCTTGACCAAAGAACTATTAGGACATTGCTAAGAGAAGCCTAGTGTTACTGCTCACTTTCACCATCACAGGAGCAAGCTCTTTCTCTGATTCAAACCACTCCCATGTGCTTTCTCTCCCCTGATGCAGTAGCTCTGAGCCCAGCATTTGAGAGCTCAATCCCATGATCACGGAGGTGAGCAATAACACTAGGCCTCTATTAGCAATGTCCTAGAAGTTTTCTAGTCAGGCTTCATGCAGTACAGAATGGCCTACACCTATAATGACATTATTCAACTTTGGTCAAAGTGCCCCAGTTTGTTTTTATCTATAGATGCCCCTCATCTGCATAGGCAGTGAACTAATCCTTTAAGCACACTTACTACAAAAATTAAAGGATCAAAAGATTTGTAGCTTGTGGACATGTTTCTAGTAAGTACTGGGTAAGGTACTGACTTGTTAGAGGGTGCAATTTATGGAAATGGTTTGCAAGTTAAAAACATTTGTGAAACACTGGTCTAATGGGTTGATTTACTACAGGTGTGCATTTTTCACTTGTGTAAAAACATTTACTCCTTAAGTCAGCCAATCAGGTGATTCATAATATTCATTGTACATGATTGGGTGTTCAAAGTGAATACAATTTCTTTAGTTCAAAATATGTACTCCTTTAAAGCTTAAATCTAGGACTCCCTACCCTGACCCCCCCACCCCCCCCCCCCACCCCCACCCCCCACCCATAATGTTTACCCACCTCCTCTAGC